CCCAGAGACACGGGGCTGAGCAAGTCAGCGTCTGCTAGAGACACTTTGGACAACTCTGGCTTCAGGTGTGCTGATGGGACAGCAGAAAAGTCATTTTGTAAGCCTGCGTTTCTCTCCGTTTTTAAAAAAAATAGAACTGAAGGTTGGGGTGGGGAAGACATGTCACAGTTACAGGTAGTTGGGGGAAAAAGTGACTTTTAACACATAATCTTTTTCCTACTACTTAGAGCAGCAGAGGACACTATGGAGCCTGGGAATCAAACACGACTCTAAGTCCAAACATAACTGAAACCCTGGCTGCTTTAGAAGGTCCTACAGCACAGGCTGATGAGACTTCAGCAATCACTTCCCCAATATGGTTGATACGCAGCTCCCTATCCCCGGATACCGGCAAATCCTCCGATCCATATGCGTTCTAAAATGTTTTAACATTTCCAGTTCTTTAGAAGTAATTCACTGTGCAAGTCTGGAAGCAAACGCAGGCGCTGCTAACACATCTCAACCAACGGCGGGTTCCTTAAGTGACGTTTGAACTCAACCCTTCCTGTAATTCTGTAATTTGAAGATTATTCTCGCAAACTTTGCAAGATGCAGACGAATGAGAGATTTCTGGCTTTGAGTCAAATGCTGGAGTAATTAAATGTTCATAAAACACTTAAAGCATGTGAAGTGCTATTATCATACCCAAGAAACCAACAGGCTACAGCAGATTGGAGCAGGATTTTGAGGCACACGAGCAAACAGCTCATTCCTCCCCCCTCCATCTCTCTTCCAGAGCTGTTAACAGAGGATTATGAACATTACCAGATTGCTTTTATTATAAACAGAAGAAGTCAAACCAAAATTACTTTCTTTCATATGAACATGTGCCATTGAAAAGTCTTTCCTTCTGTAATAAATATCTAAGTAGCTGACCAGCTTGCTGCTTATCTCGTGAAGGAACTACCCCTAGGGAGAAGAGAAATTGCTGTTACTTCTAATCTCGCACATAAAACTGAAGAGGTTCCACCTGTTATAGGTTTATAACACCATCTGCTGTTTAAAAATAAGACAGCATTTGAGCTAACCATCACACACGAGTTTGCGCTTGTTTGATAACCTAGAAGTGACAAACGGTTAATACGGAAAGGTTTGTGTAATTGGCACTTTTCTTTCACTTCTGTTCTTTCAAGCCCTTAACGTATTTCGTCTTGGTCTTAATTAGGAAGCAAATTATTTCTTCGCTAGAGGATCTAGAAAGCCAGCGAGCGGCAGAGATTTAGCAGTGCTACCAGATTCAGCCAGTCCTACGCCACAAAACCAGCCACGGTATCCCCAGAGTTGCTCCCGTTTTGAGGTTTTGCTCAGGGTGGTCATCACTGGAAAAAGTTTCGTGCGCATGACGCCTTCCTGCAGTCACTCTGTTTCTATCTTTTCAGTGTTTAGCTGGTTTCTAAGCAGTGTCATCCTCCCCCCCGGCCCCGACAACCTGACCCGAAGAACCTGCTTAAAAACTTTTTCTTAAAAGAGAGTCATAGACCCCACAGGGTATGAGCAGCTCAATGGAAATCTTTCTTTCTGTCAAAAAATCAAAATATTTGTCTTTTGCTGTCTCACACTGCTGCCTGCACGATAGAATAAATACTCTAACCAAGGTTTCTTTTACTGCTTTCTAACTGAAAATGAGGCATATTTTCATCCCAAGAAAAACAACCAAGCCCTGGAGTTCATTAAACATCTCAGCCAAAGTACTCACCACCAACCCTCTCGGTTTTTGTTGCAGGTCATAACAAGCAGACAAGTATTCTTAACAACAACACTTTTTCTTAAAAAAAAAAAGAGTTTTTTTTCAAAATGAGTGCCTGTGGAGTCCAACCGCTCACCCGGAGACAATATAGTGTTTTTAACCATCTCAAGTTTATCAAAAAAAAAAAAACCAAACCTGTCAGAGTCTTAAAGTCTAGTAAAAATCAGAGGCTACAGCTGTGCAAGTCTGCTTTAGTCCTATCGCAGCAGCCCCTTTACAACATCCTCTGCCATATTTAACATTTGTAACCCCCTCCCCACGCATCGTTTAAAGAGTCAGGGGCTCCTTTTGTAAGCGATCAGCTTCTTACCCCAGCACTTTACATACACTTCTCGACAAAAGAGACCTTTTACATGTCAATTTATTTTCAGACAAGCATATCTGAACGGGAGTTTCCCTCCAGAGTAGAATTAGTATGAATGGCAGGTGTTCCAGTGCAACACAAAAGGAGGAAGGCAGCAAGTTAGCTGAGCTTAAGTAGTAAGACAGCTTGATGTTTTAATAACTAGAGGCAAGAAAATGGAATGGCAGTGGACCTCCAGCTTTCATAGCATGAATGAAGGTTTTATTCAGAGCCCCCCATGTACTTGCAAAAGAAGACCTTGAAATATTTTAATGTTGGCTTTGCTTTAAAAGAGGGATTAAATCGTTGAACATTACATGAAAGCACAGCATCCGCCCCACGTACCGTCAAACACACTTGCAGTCGCTGCGTCCTAAGCCTCTGCTTCCCGAAAAGGTGGTTGCCACCAGGCGGTGGTGGTGCCTGGGCGGCAAGCAGTGCCGCAAACAGCATCACGATTCGCAGCCTCGCATTTTCCACCACCTATCCGCAAATCCACAAAAGCCTGGAGAAGAACTTTACATGGACTAACTTGAAGCTGGGGACTTGACGATGACGCTGGCATCAGTCAGCCCAAAGTACTGAAAAGAGAGGATCGTTTGCTCAGTGAAATTTCACTGAGAGAAAAGAGAAAAAAAAAAAAAGACATTTGCTGAGAAGGTTACCGCCCTTCATTTTTTAAAGATAGCCTAAATAATCACGATGTGTGAATACCTATCAGGCCCAAATACATTTATCTCTGCTCGGTTTAATTTGGCAGAGGTCAATACCACGTCATGACAAGGAAGGCCTGACTACACAGAGGGGAGAAGGGGGTTATAAAACAGCCTTTCTGCCAGGGCAACAAATTTCACAACAGAAAAAGCTGATGATTTATGCCCCAAAATAGGAAGGCTTAACCTTCTTTTATGGAAGCTGTATTACATGAAGAAAGAAGAGACACTCAATATTACTTTCAAGGTCCATGCCTAGGGGTTAGCATAATATTTCTACATAGGTTAATTCCAGGTAGACTCAGCTACTGGAGACTGGATTCCAGGATTTCTACTCCCTTGAGCTTTCATACCCACTTACAGGACAAAACCTTAGAGGTCAAGTTGACCATTAAAAACCTGAAATAACACAGGCAGTTCTCCTTCTAAAGGGTTCCTTATGTATGAAAGTTAAATGCATTTTCATCCCTTTTTTTAAATCAAGAGGGAAGGCAACTTGCATATCCTCTTCGTACCACGTTAAAGCTGAATGACTTGAACTCTCATGCCAGCAGATCATTTGTCTTCTGTAAGACATCTACTAGCTCCCCTCAAAAGGTTTAAGGACCCAGCCCAACGTAGGCCCAACTTGCCCCTCAAATAATGTGATTTCAATTAAGATGACAATAGTTGGTCCCAACTGCATTTTGGGAAAGGTTTAAGACTGTCAGGACAAAATCAGAACGGGAACAAAGGGGCCCACCTGACCCATTACAAACACCTACAGTTCTCATAAACAGAGAGATCAGTAAGTCAATTTTTATTGAGCACTGGAATTAAAAAAATTAACAGCACTTAATTATTTGGAACTAAAAATCAAAACTTATTTTTACTTATGGAAGGATCACTCGCAACAACTTGGTTAAAAACACAGAAAGCACGGTTTAGCCCTTCTTGTTCGCTCTGTTCTCCAAAGTGTTGTAGGTCCACGAAGATACAGCTGAACTGAATACAGAAAGCTCCTCTGATTGAACACCGTGAGGCAGCCGGCTTGACTCAAAAAGTCAGGGTGGAGGGGTCTTACACACCAGGCGTTGCTTACTGCTAGCACCGCTTCTGTAGTGACTGCAGGCTGTTCTCCTTACATGTACAGCGCTCTGCATCTGGTCATCCTAAATGTCTTCGAGTTGTTGCTACTTGGCCTCACACCAGCACCATTACAGGGAGGATTAAGCAAAGGGTATTATGCTTATCCCGATTAAAAACTTGAAAACATTCACAATTTCACACAAACATGCAAGCTACCATTCAAGCAGGACAAACATTTGGTTTTAGGATCCATCCTGACCGGTCTGTATTGTTTGGAGGCTCACAGTGAGTGGTGAACACCAGCAATGCGTCAAACCCATTTAACCTTTTAAGAATCCACTCTTGAAGTGCAATGCAGGAAATACTCTTTAAAACTGTTGGGAGGGGTTTGCTTAAATCCCAACAACACCCAAGGGGACTGAACCCAAGCTCCCAAAAGAAGCTGTTTAATTGTTATATTTATTAAGGATAGCTGGCACGAGGGTGACTGCACAGTTGTAGTAAATGTAAGGCAGGTTCATTGGCATCAATACAAAAATTGTGCCAGAGGAGAAAGCAAGAATTTTTAAAGAAGGCATTTCACACAGTGGAGTGACCCCCCCCTCCCCGCTGAAGGCCAGCGCTGGGCCTCCGCAGTCGCAGGTCCTTTTCTTTCGGCACAAAAGTCTCGTTATCCTGGGTGAGACCCTCTAACGTTGACACAAGGAAAGTGATGGGCTGCGGAGTAACACTTCCAGTTCAACTCACGCCACTCCGAAACGTACTTTTTTGCTAATTCCCAAAGTACAACAGAGTTAACCTAGCACAGGCAGGTTGGCAGAGTTTCATCCCTGGGCATGTCTGCATCAGATGTGCTCTGCCACTATCAGCAAAGGATTAAAACCAGCTCTGCTGCGGGTTTATGGCAATACCAGGGAGAAGATACAGCATGCACTGACACCGGCCTTCTCCTCTTAGAGGGCACTGAAACCTAGGGCAATACTTGGAATAAATATAGGAAAAAAAACCCCCTTGACTACTTCAGCTTCTCACTGGGAATAAAACAGGACCTGCCTGGGTGAGGGTGGAGGAGAAGGAAGAGAGCTGCACATCTCTGAGAAAATTTTTAATGGAATTCTCTATTACAGAGTCTACGGGGACCAAGCAAAGGGGAAAGGCAAAAAGAAAGTTCCCCCTCTCTATATGACCAGCCAAAGGGAGCAGATATTCCCAGGAGAAGCTTTGCATTTTTGAGTGCTTGCAGGCTCCATAGTTCTTCTAATCCTCCCAGGAAACGCCCACCAGTAAACGAGGAGAGCTCTATCAATTCTCTGCAAGTTAGAATGGATCAGGAATTTATTTCTAGCACAGTTCACCTGCAAGCGTTGGTTTCTATTAAAACTATGATGTCTTTTGAGAGTAAGAAGTTTCCCTCTCCACAGTCTACATCTTGCCACCTTCCCTGTTGATCACTGCCTTAGCCAATAAATAAAAGCAAGGTATTAAACGCGAGAGAAGGTAGCATAATATGCAGCCCTACTACACTACTGCTGATTTTCCCATCAGAGGGCCAGCTGTGGAGGACAGACATACCTCTACAGATGAAAAAGCTTTGCACATCTCTCAAAAGGCAGGCAAGAATCATTATCCCCTTATTACAGAGGGGGGAAATGACTAGGGTCACTTATTCTGCAGCTAAAAGTCAGTCAGTAAAATAACATCAACTGAATGACATGTTTATTGTACAATTCAGAAAGAAACCCTGAGTTACCAGCTGTAGGACAAAGTTAAATTAAAAAGAAGTATGGTTTGCTTCACAGATTCCTGCTAAGGGAAGGTGGGGGAAGGAATGAGCCAAATCTAGCAGGTATTCTGGACAGCGTATCGTCTAAGGGAGTGTTTGGAAAACAGTTGGTTTATTTTGTTTGGAGAACAGCCATGTGGCTTGGGAGAGGGCAGAAGAGATGGGAAGAAATGGAGTCTGAAAAATCGACTTTACAATCTGAACATACACAAAAAAAAAATGAAGGAGAGGGAAGTTCTTTACAAACACAAGTGCTGCTGGCTAAGAGTCTGCAAGTTGGACTTTGGGAAGGGCATACAAAGTTTCAGGGGAGGAAAAACCCAAAGCCTAAACCCAAACATCATGCAGTCTTCCAGCTGCAGTGGCGTTGGAGAAGATCAGTTCCAAGAAATGATGCAGCTACAACAAAGATCTGGCCCTACAAAGGAGAGGGTGAATCAGAGCTGCTTTTTAGTGCCCCTTGACATCAGTTATACATTCTAGTTCTCATATACACAGATGGATGTCTTTAAAAATCGACAATTTACACTTCAAAAAAGTTTTACAGTGACGTTCTCTCAGTAAAGATCAGTCCACACAAAGAGGAGCCAGTCTTTCAGAAGCAGAAAGGCACTTGGCCTTGATGTGGATTTCAGAAAAAGTCCTCAAGGGAGCTCCTTTGCAGACATTTACTGCCCAGTTTCCTGCCCCCTGTCTTCACTAGGTCGTGCAAAGTCTGGTGTAGATTGCATTGCACAGTGCTGCTGCAGACTGCCCAAAATTCACAGTGTGGTAGAAGGAAGTTTCTTGACCCGCCTCTGTGCCAGAATGGATGATTCAATGGGCTTCAGCTGGGGGCTTGGCTTGGAGCTGTTCAGTGCAGAGTATGTGGCAGCCATTGCCCCCTTGGAGAGAAGGCATGAGAGAAGTCATTTAGGTGTAGAAGAGGTATATTAGACTCATGACTCTTCAAGATGAGGGAGTAGAATAGCCTGGCCCATAAATGAAGTCAGAAGCACTCTTTTTTTTAACGCTTCTCCCTTCCTGAGATGCAGTCAAAGAACCTTACTAGGTCTTCCTGCCCCCCAAAATAGCTTGCCTTACATTGCCCAGCTCAGAGGTCTACAACCTTGCATCCTGCTTTGCTTGCACCACTGTTACCCCACCTGAAGCCCTGCTTTCCAAAGAGCTCGATATCCAAGAGGAACACCCAGCCCAGACTTTGTACCTTTACAAGCTGAACGTCCTGGTGATTCAGTTGGCTCTGAGGTAAGCTATCCTTCTGTGTTATCCACGGATGCTGCAGGACCTGTTTGGCTGTTAGACGCTGGTGAGGATCTACATGAAGCATCTTTGATACCAGATCCTAAGGGGATCATTTGGAAAATTAGACTTTAGAAGACTTCATACTTTAAATAAAAAAAAATACTGTCACCCCACACTTACAATTTAAATTCAGAGGCTGAGTTTCAAGACCCCAGACATCAATCTCCTGGTGTATAAAATACATTTGCAGTGGGTCTGGGAGGTACACCACAGCAACAAGCTGGGCACGGGTCAAGCACTAAATTGGCATTGCATACAAATATTCAAGGCAAGTACTAAAACAAAGCAGACGGAGGCACACTGCTGAGCTGCCTGCAGGGGAGACGTACATGGGGTGGAACCTACACTGCTGCTTTTCTCCTACCTCTTCTGCCCTCCCTCCCCAACCTGCTTTAAACATGCCTCACAGCAATTGGCCGTGCTTGATCTCAACCCTTGAATTTACCCAGGTGAATAGCAAATCATACCTTGGCTGTTTCAGAAATAGTGTCCCAATTGCCTCCACTGACAGAGAACTTTCCCCCACCTATTCGGGTCAGGATCTCCTCTGGAGTGTCACTGGGCCCGTTTGCAAATGGAGTGCAGCTGAGGTGAGAAGAGAAAAGAGCATGTGAGTTGCTGTCCTGTTACTGGGCTAGGGACCGGTCCCAGTTAACACTGACTGATACGGAGAGGTACCAACTGCCACAGCAGAGCATGTCTGAGAGCAAGGTGATCACAGCTCCAGCTGTAACCTTCCAACGAGACGGGGAGGCACTTACCCTGCTAGCATTGTATAAAGGAGAACTCCCAGGCTCCAGATGTCACAGCCCTCATCGTAGCCTTGGCGTTTTAGTACCTGAACAGAATAAGCAAAGAAAAAAAAGCATGTTCAGTTCTTGTCACAGAGCTTGTTTCAGCTTGTGAAGAGTGGCTTGACCTCCGCATGCAGTCTGTATGCAAAGCTCCTTCTGGAGCCCCACTGAATAGCAAGGTCATGGACTAAAGGTCAGGATTCAAATCAGATTTTTGTTTCATGGAACAGAGGAAACCCCCCAGGTGCATCAAAATGACAGGCGAGAAAGAAGCCATGTTCCAGTGCAGCGACACTGCATGTGTGCTCCATTGGGTGCCACTTCTTTTTCTTTCCCCCACGTCAAGATAGCTGAAGAGAAAATAAAACCACATCTTTTAACAGGTCAGTTAATCAGGAAGAGAAACAGCCTACAAAACCAGTGGGATTCTAAAGTCTCACAGCCCTTCACAGGCCCTCTCCTAGCAGCTGAAGGAATAAGGTACAGTACAAGTTGGAAGAACGCATTGTAACTGCGCTTGAGATCCCATATTTGTTCAGTACCACAAGTGCTGGTATTTCTGCAATTTCAGATTACAAGTCAGGATATGCCAGAGCAGGCTTCATTTAAGCACTGGGCAGACCTATCTGTGCAGAATGAGAACACCGTCTAGGGGAGAGAAGCGAGAGCTACAGGAGAGTCTCAAGTCAGTAAGTCACTTACCTCAGGTGCCACAAAGTTTGCAGTATAACAAGGAGTCATGAGAAGGCCATTCTCAGCCCTCAGCTGCTTGGCAAAGCCAAAGTCACAAATGCGAATGCTTTCTGGGTTTCCTGACTCGTCCACATAGAGAATGTTGCTGGGTTTCAAGTCCCTGTGAACCACCTGCGGAGCAAAGAAAGTGCTGCTCTCATACGCCAAGCAGACGAAGGTCTGACGCTGCATCAGGATACTCAACCCCTGCTCTGGCCCCACATCTGCCTTGCCAAGACAGCAACGCCAGAGAGAAACAATAGTCCTGACAAGCACAGTTGCTCTCCGGAGGAGAGGGAGTGCAGTGCAAGGCTCGTCAGCTTCCTAGGGAAACAGATGTAACCAGACCCATACTCACCCCCTGAGAATGCAGATACTCCACCGTTTTACAGATCGTATGCAGGACAGAACTGGCCTCCCTCTCCGAGAAAAATTTCTGTCTGAGGATCTTATCCAGCAGCTCCCCTCCCCTCATCAGCTCAGTCACCAGATACACATACTTCCCATCATCATACACCTACCAAGGCAAACATGGAGAGGGTTAATCAAAAACTGCTTCCCAGACTTCCCTTTTGTAGTTCTACTATGAAGCAGACAGAAGTCAACAATGCAGAGGTGGATCTCTGCTGCTCGGATGTATCCCCAACCCAGAGCAACACGATGAGCGGCAACACCAGGTTGCACGTGCCAGAGCTGTTGCCAGCCTGCATTCAGACCTCCCGTAGGCCAGTCTGCACTTCCTAAACCAACACGTGTGACAAGTTATTCACTCACATCTTTCAAGGTAATGATGTTTGGATGCTGCCCATATCGCAGGAGGATTTCGATTTCCTCAGACGGGTCTCGCTTGCTCTTGTCAATGACCTGCAAGAGTACGGATAAGCATTATCCGCAACTGGATGGGGAAGCGGCTAGGACACAGCAAATAAGTTGAATATTTGGAACACTGCAGAGATACTGTACTGTATCCATTCCCTGTCTCCTGCCCTCTTTAGCAATAAGCTCCAGAAATCTCCTGCCTGCTCTGTCAGTTATGCGTCTCCAACACCAAAGTTTTGTGTCTGGCTTATTAAGATGTGACAACATAGCCACGGCAAGCATGGCAGAGAAAGGTGAAACACTGTCCTCCCTCCTTGAGAAAGGAGAATGCTGCTTCCCCACTATTCCTAGGTAAGAAAGCTAGCACAGCTATACATGCAGCAGCACAGAAATTGTCCGCTCGGATCGCACGCAAGCAGGGAAAGCGATTCCATTCCTGGATATTATTTTGGCCGTTATAGGGATGAACAGAAATCTAACGGGAGAGTTCAGTTCAGATTGTAAATCTCAGACCTTGACTGCATACTCCATGTTGGTTGCTTTATGAATGCAGCGTTTACACACTGAGTAGGAGCCAACACCGATCGCCTCCTTCACCACGTAGCCATCGTTGAACTGGACATTCTTGCCATGCAGCTGCTGCAACAGGAGAGCAGAGGAACAGATGAGATGGGAGAGTTCAGGGAATGGTTTGTGCAATGCGATGAGTCAACTGTAACGCAGAACGAACTGACAGACGGCTGTCTGCTGCATCCCACAGCTTCTCCTCCCTGCTGGGGAGAGGGAGGAGAAGAGAACAAGGCAAATATAGGTCACTAGGCTAACACTATCTGCATCTAAGCATGGTGCATTTCTGTGGCACCTTCCAACCCGCAGGCGTTTGTGCAGACCTCCCACTAGCATGGGTCCAGCTAGGGAGAGGAAAGCAAACAGATTCGAAGTGCCCCAGTGACCTCTGCACATGACAATCAATAGCAATGAAAGAACAACAGGATGCAAGAATTCAAAACAGAGTGACTCTCATCTAAGGCTTTACTTAAGCTCTCCTCAAAACAGTACTGAGGTCCTGCAGACCCACGCTGGGCTCTGGGGCATTACTGCACCTCAGAACAGTTGCTCTTCGGTCCCCACTTTTACCTGTACCACCGAATTCAGAGGGGACTGGGCAGGTTTCACCTTGCCGTCCTCCATCAATCCAGTCGCCACGAAACTGAAGCCGCGGAAGAGCTGATGGGCCCCTGCGCTTGGGGGGATGCCTGGGGAATCTGCAACAGGAGTTGAGAGGCACCTTGAAGAGGGCTGGGCCAGCTGAAGCAGAAGCCTTTCCCTCACTTCCCAGAAGCCACGGCTCCTCTCTAGGCTATTCTAGACAGGAGCCACGCTGCACAGCACCGCGTTCGTTCACAAACACCCTGCACGTGTACCACTGGGCCTCTGCCTTAGTGCTGCCACTGTCTGAAGCTGGCAGTGCTAAAAGGAGGCAAGACATAGCCCAGCTGGCATAGGCAAAACAAATATTAAGCCATACAGTATAACTTCACACAGGAAGCTTTGGCTGCATTAATTTGCACAAACCTTTTGGTGTACGAGACGTAAACTCTGTGTCAAAATAAAAGGTGTCATCTGGCTGGCCTACTGCAGGCTTGAAAGGTGGTTTGATTTCCCTTCGATACAGCTTCTGCAAAACAAATACAGCTTGAAAGTGCTCTGATAGGTCAACGCTCTCATATGCACTTAGAAGGGTGTAAAGACTTGCTAGGAATGAGAGGCCACAAAGAGATTTTGCAAAAACTAGAAGCAACTTTGCAGCTTAGCATTTAACTACAGCTCAGCAGTTGGAGGGAAGACTTCTGGGCCAGTATGGTGCTTTTGAGTCAGTCCATGGAGAAATGCCATGAGTTTCTACCTTCTACCATATATTGATCAAGGCAAAAAAAGTGCTCTCTAAGCAGCTTGCCTCCCTACTTCAAAGGTAGTATCCGTGAAGTATTTACCTCACCAGGCTCTTCCACCTCCTCCTGACTCCCATTAAAGTGTTGCTGACACACATCTCCAGGGACAGCCAGAGAAATTGCCCTAGGAGAACATTCGCCTCCCAGTGTCCCCACAAGTCTCCCTTTTAAATTGCTTCTTGAAGCAAAAACATGAAATAATTCTTACTAGCATTGCTGGAGGTTCATTCTGGTAACTTGCTGGATGCCTTGAAAGCACGAAAAGACTGATCTTCAAAATCCCTTACAAAACAAGGGAAACCATCCAGGAAAGGAACTAGGTTATACGGTAAAATAGGGAGTTGGCCAAAACTAATTTGGAAATGCAGGCTCAGTTACTGCCCTGAGACTATTTCTATGGATGAAACAAGGTATTTCCTTCCCAGAAAAGTTTTCCTCAGTCTTTCCTATTCTGGGCAAGGCAATCCCTGTTGTGCCAAACCCCAGATTAAAACCTGCACCTTTCTTTTGAGAGAATGAATTCAAGACAAGGTGAAATCATAAGCAACTCGGGTATTAAGCAGTTATTCACATGACAAACAGGAATTTTAGTTTTCGGAAGGTTTACTAGAATAGTTGGAAGCATGGACTGGGAGCCCTCCTACAGCCGACTGGTCAGACTTCAAGCATCACAATTGTGCTATTATTGCAGTCAGCAAAATTGCATTACTTTCACTGAGTGGTGCGGAAGTTTGGTCTTAAATTTCTGATACTCACATTCCAGTCAATAGTAGAGTAGAAAGGATGGCGCTTTATCTCTTCTGCCCCATCTGGACCAGAACCTGGAAGATGCACCCATGGAGTGCATAATGTTAGAGCAGGACCACTGACCAAGTGAAGGCTGCTACCGCATATGCAGCGTGACCAGGTATATTATGGGGAACCTGGCCGTAATGAAACAAGCAAATTAACCAAGCACAAGTCTGAACATGCACCTGACCAACTAGGATCTGAGAGGCCCAGGTAGAGCATCAGGCATATTCAGAAAGAAAATATGTCTTACCTAATCTGTTGGCTGGATTCCTTTTGAAAAGGGCTCGCAGGAGACTCTGTGCTTCAGAGCTCAGGAACTGAGGCATGCCCAGCTTTGCTCTAGAAAGGAAGTTATGTAATCAGTTATAGGTTTAAAGAAGTCAAGCCACAAGCTGACGGCAGCACCTCCACCCCTGAAAGTACAATAATCTGTTTGGCATTTATACTGCAACCTTCAAACTAGCTCTTGATACAGAAACACTTGCTAAATAATGCCATCAAGTTGTGAGAACCCCCAAGTTGCAACAACCTCAGAGAAAGAGCAGCAAGCTCACCTCGTATACACACATGGAAGAGAAACTCGCTTACTTGAGAATGAGGGTCATCGTCTCCTTACGATCTTTTCCCTGGAAGGGCAGTGAGCCGGTGAGCATTTCAAACTGGGAGAAAAAGAGAACAAGGAGAGGTCACATGCCTCAGCAAGTCTAAGGGTTGCAGCAGGGAGATGTTTGAGCCAGTGCCTGCTCCTCCAGGAGCCCTGAGATTCAGTGACTGCCAGATGGTGGCACCAGATCCGCACAACAACCAATATCCCAGCACTGGGGGCTGACACGGGCACCCACCCACACCCACCCACCCCACGCTGCACGTCCCAGGTGCTCACTGGAACAGCCCCAGGAGCTCTGCATCCCCTGAGAAACACATTCCTGCCTGGATCCCTGCACTGCCTGGACACCCTTTTACAGAGTCCTTTCAGGGAGCTTTGAGAATATCCTTAAGTCAGTGCATCTGCTAGACATGCAGAATCATGCAAGGGTATTTCAGAGCTACGGCTAGAGCAGCTGCCAAGAAGTCAAGTTTCCAAACACACTAGTTTGGTACGTACCATTAACACCCCATATGACCACCAGTCAGCGCTGTGGGAGTGGCCCTGACGATTCACAACTTCTGGCGCCATGTATTCCACTGTCCCACAGAAGGAATAGGCTTTCTTCTCATGGTCTATAGCTTCTTTACTCAAGCCAAAATCTACATAAGAGAAAAACTTAGCATGTGCCCACCTCCTCTGGACTATCACACTGAGCAGAGAAGTCTAAGTAAACCTCCGCATTTCAAGAACCAAGCTTGCTGGAGCACAAGGTTTTTGTGGAGTCTCTTACCTGTGAGTTTGATGTGCCCTTCTTCATCTAGGAGGATGCTACAGCATAGGTGAAAAAAGCAAGATGTTATTAGCTGTAAGAAAGGCTGATGTGAACCAGCACATACCTTGGAGGCTGGTCAGAGATGCTCTCAAAACTCCAAAGGAGAAAGTTAACTATCTCTTCCCACCCCAAAGCTTTAAACTCCATCATCAAGGCATGAACAGGAGAAAGGGCAGCTCCCCTTCTTTCTACACCCCCCCCCCTTCACATTGAACAAATAGCCCCCAGAGATTGCATCACCTCCGATACCCCAAATCCCCCAGGTAAGAACAGCTGAGTCACACAGCTGGCATGCATCTCTACAGAGGCCCCGCATGGTGCCTTTCTCCTCCGAAGGCTCTCAACTGCTTAAAGCTGGAGGCCAGAGCCTGCCAAGGATTAATGCTCAGACATGTGGTGCACACATGCTGCCTCCACAGTGCTCCTGGCTGCAACTGCTGATGTGAGGAGCAAGAGCCTCAGTGATCTGCTTGGTGATGCTTCCCATCTAGTTGGCCCAGAGGCATTATTCAGCTTGGTCTACATGGAAGAAAACTGTGCTGTTTTCTGACTACGAGCTTGGGACTGAGCTGCAGGAAGGACTCTGTTCCCTGCAACAGTTGTGCCACACGTACTTTTCTGGTTTGAGATCTCTGTATATGATTCCCAGGCTGTGCAAATGGTCAAGCCCCAAAGCCAGCTCTGCTAGGTAGAACTTCACGTCTTCCTCTGTGAACATCACCTGCAGGAAGGCAGAGGAAGCAGACATGCCCCGGGGTTACAGCCCTGACAGGGGGACCACGTCAGATGCACCCATGCAAGACCTTTCATATCCACGTTGCTCCATCCTGCCTTTCCAAGACTTAAGTTTCCCAGGCTTCACCCGCCACCCGAAAGTATTAATTAAGCAGCAACACTAAAAAGCACAAACATGGTTGCTAGGCAGCAGACAGGTGTTAAAAAAACTCTTCCTTTACATTAAAGACAACAGGGAATGTAACTTGGTTATCCGGCACAGCTTCTTGTTGCCCCTCCCATGCTCTGCCCTCACCCTTTCCGGGTGAAGCCATGCAGCCAGATGACATGACAGCAGAACACAGCACTTGCTTGTTTCCATTCTTGATGGAAGCTGCTAGATGAGGTGAGACCTGCTGCCTATGCTGGTGCTCTTCTGGCAGGGGACAGGGTCCTGGAGATACCCTCTCCTCTTTCCAGCTCTGAGCTAGCTGCAGGATGGAGGTTCTTTCCATCCCCCTTAAAGATTTCCCAAGAGTCAATCACTTCTCCAGGCAGTTAGGGCTTAGCGCGCAAGAACTGAGAACCTCAGCAATCCAGCAAGATGCCACAGCATACCCACCTCTTTGGAAAGCCGAGTGAAAAGGTCACCTCCTCTGAGGAAATCCAAGATGAGATAGAGCTTCCCCTCTGTTTGGAATGCTGAAACACAAGCCAGAGCAGGAATCAGACCCCTCTGCTGAGGGACGGCTCAACTGTGTTACGTTAATCGCTTAAGTCCCACTGGCTTCAGTTACACCGATGCCCTGCATGGTTACTAGGTTAAACACAGGTAGGGCTAATTATTTGGCACAAATGAGATAAGCCTGGCCAGGATGTTGAAATGGGAGCTCACCAGCAGGACTCTGCACTGCACGAAAGTCTGATCTTCTGCAGGGTTTGTTCCCTTTCAGCCAGTGACGCCCTACTGAAAGGGCCATTTTCCCAAGAGAGGCATCAGTCACTTTACAGGGTAAAAAAACTGCTCTTGCTTTCCTCAGAGTCAGAGCATTAATCCTGATGAACTCTGGTTTGACTAGTTAACTCTTTTTCAATTTCTCCTTAATTAATATCTTAATCCAAAGGATTTGATGTTTAAACCTCTTCTCCTGGGCTATGCTGTTTTTCCCATTCAATAACTAGAGTGGGCACAAGACCAAAGTCCTTTCAAGGAAAGGATTTGTTTTAAGGGGATTGTGAAGGCTCCATGGCAGCACAGCCACTGAGGGATACGGACTGACTAAGGCCTTTTCTCCACTTCAGGTATTTCTAGAAGCCTGCTAGGGACCCTGAGAATCTCTCAGCATCCTCCAAGCAGCCTGCTGCTGGATGCCTAGTGCTCATCCACCTAGTGCTCAAAGACACCTGTAATAGCATCTCTCTTTATTGTGTTCAAAAGCAGTTAGTCTCTGTTCAAGGTGGCAGCCCTTAAAAACTGGAAGCTTACCTGGGCACCCCCTCTCCCTGTGTCCGAACTAGTTCCACACTCACCATAGTGGAGTTTCACCACAAAGGGATGGTTTACATCAGCCAGGATATCCCTTTCTATCTTTGTCCTTACTCGATCACGCACTGTGGGAGAAGAGAGGAACTGCTCAGGCACTGAAAAAGGCACACAGTTCCCTGATATCAGCCTGTCCCCAGCCTTAAGCCCTTTAGTTCCAGGCAGCCTGAGCCAGCTCCTCTCCATCTCTAGCACTGCAATAACAGTTTCTTAGAGATGGAGAGAAGAAGGGGCTGTCAGCTGAGATAGACTTCTTCACACAGAGCACTCTAGAGCCAGCACTGCCCAGTGACTGCTGTGGGATTTTTCCCAATGCCACTCCCCAGTGCTCTCTAGACATGGAGAATAAGGGAGGACTCTCCTACCTTTCAATGTTGCCTTCTTGAGCACTTTCATGGCATAGAGGTGGTTGCTGTCTGGCGGAGTGATTTTTCTCACCAGAAAAACCTAAAGCAGAAGGACACATTATCCGAGCTCTAAACACCAGCACAAGGAGCTGGATGCCTCCCAAAGCAGCAAACCTCAGAGTGACCAGAGAAGCAGCTGGCCACAGGTCTGGCAAAGTTGTACCTCAGGCTCTCTATGTGAAGCCTCATGAGGTTTTCAGCAAAGATGGGCTCCTCTCACACCCCATCTCCAGCCATTACAGCACTCATGTTTTTACACTGCACTTTCCTCCTCTCCTGTCTTCCACACCTCTTGCTCATTCCTGCAGCTACCATGGGATTGTGGTGATGCCTAGGAGCTGTGACTAAGAGTCCTGTCCAGCTTTGTGTTCTTAACTTGAAGCAACATCACAGAACAGAAGTAACCTTACCTACTTCTAGTCCCTGCAACACTGCCAGTCAGTGTCCGACATGCTGGCAGACTCACCGATGCTTCTGTGAACCACAGAGCCTCCTGGTGATGGCAAGACCGACTCCTTGGAGTTCAGGCCCTGCACCCTCTCTGGATTTTTACCTCCCTCCTTTCCCTGATGTCCTGTACTACCTGAATCTAGACAGCTTTGAAAAGACACTCACATTCTTTCGAATAAAGTCCACTGCTGTGTTTGTACAAGCAACAGCACCCAGTCCTATACAAGCCCTTACTATTAGTGTTGGTAACTGACCGACATTAAGCTGAAGACTTACTGCACAAGCAGACAGTCTGTAAGAGACCTGGATTATTTGCAAGTTGAAATAGATAAGAGTTAGAGGCTACTTCCTTCCCCCTTCACAGAGAGGAAACTGGACTGTACACAAGGGCTGAAAACAGCCTGTTGCATATAACATCATTTCTGAGAACTGCAAGGGACATGGCCTGAGTCCTCCAAGTCCTCAATTCAACCGAGTAGCCTGGCAGCCAGCCAGAGAGCTGCAGGAGGTCCCTCTGCCCAGTGCAACACCTGTGTTCACAAGCAGGATCCTACTCCTTTCCTTCCAATCAAAAAAAAAAAAAATTACCAGGGAAATTCTGGACATACATCTCTGCAGCTGCCTCTCAAGTTAGAAGCAAACATTTGCTAAGTGGGCTGCTCCAGCCATGATCAAGTGAGAATCAGGATAGTGATTACACTGGAGACAGTCCCGTTTCTCACCTACTCTCTCAAAAAAGCTTGTCTGGCATAACACATAGGAAGAAGTGAACTCACCTTCCCAAAAGAGCCCTGTCCCAGAACCTTCAGAAGCTCAAATTGTGAAGGATCAGCTTTCTCAGAGCCCTCCTTCACATGGTGTGTGATGTTGATTTCTTTCACAACGCCTTCACCCTGAAAAAGGGGACACATGGCTGAGTGGGAATATACTCCTGGAGAAGGGGGAAAAGCCTTATCAGATGAAGGAACAAGGTGAGCCACAAACTCACAGGAACCACATCTGAGAGAACCATACAAATTAGCACTTGTCACAGGTATCTCCTGGCTTCAACATCTGGAACAAATAAGTCACTGGTACGCTTCTGCCAAGCAGCCTCGTTACATATCCTGCGCTCTCCGAAACGCTGTGCCCCTTTGTCCTTGCACCAGTGGTGTTGTATTTCTTTGAACTGCATTTCAGAAGAGTGCTTTGAAAGTACCTTCCTTTTTAAGGCACTGGTGGCAAAAACAGGAGTGTTTATGCCACTAAAAATCCCACAACACAAAAATACAGCACTGTTGTCAAAACATGGACAGGGCTGGCAAAAATCAGACATGTTGGAGCCCATCTGCTCAGCAATCTGAGCAACTCTGCAACATAAGTCTTAGTGCATCTTCAGCACATACAGATGATGCTTTTTAACAGACTCAACCCTTCAAGAAGATTGAGGGGAAGCCAAGGTCTCTGGCACATGTTTTGTTTAAAACACATTCTTTTATTTAAAAAAATATATATAGGAGAAAGAGACATCTAGTTGGAAGTAACTAGAATAAATTCACTAACAAAGCTAGGCCAGAACCATCTGTCTGACCAGAGCACGAGAACAGCCACAGACCTTGAGGTGATACTGAAACACGTCCTTTCCCCCAACAAAACTTGTCCGTAGCTGGGGTGCATAAAGCCCAGAATTCAGCTCTGTGGGAACACCTTGTGCTGCTTCTATTTGCATCTCCAGAAATAAAGAGAGGTTTTGTACCAATAGTCTTCCAGCTGTGTCTCTCCTCCTACTTCCCTCTGATTATATGCAACCATCCAGGTTTCCTCTAAACTAGCCAGTGTTCCAGCACCTCTCCTGATTGTCTATGGGGAGAGCCCACAGGGCAGGCTAGAGTCAGCTTCCCGCTTCTACAGACGCGGATCTTACTCAGGCCAGAAAATCCTTGTGGTCAGACACCTTGCAAGGGCAAGTCCAGGTTTCTCAGTACTTCAGTCCCACACTACCCCGCGTCAGACTTGGTCTGGTTACTGTTTGGACCTGAAGGCAAGCAATTATGTTCCAAAGGGCATTAAACCCGGCTGATCTCTGACTCTAGGGCATGTGTAGCCATCAGAGGGTGCCAAAAAGCTGGAATTACTTTTTAGCTTTTCTCCTTCTGAAGTAGGGGAGAAAAGTTGTACTGTTTTCTAAATGTATTCAGAGTCTTGCTTTGGAACCCTCCTAAATCAAAGCAGCTTTTAAAAGCAACAGGAACCAAGTTTCAACCTCTGCCTCCCGCACAAGCTGCACCCCGGCCCACTCTCCCCACCCTCCGAGTACGTTCTCGGGGAGGGTAAACTTGCCAAATGCACGGATGTGGTTGCCTACCTGCAGAATGGCACTGCACGCCCTTCCTTTCCCACTGTCGTGCTTGGCTTTTCTCTAGATTAGGAAGTAGCTTTGTTTCCATGTCTGTCAGTAGCTTTATTCTCTTAAGACCCTGCATTGTTTAGACACTAAGTTCTAGCAGAGAAACCTGCACCCTCAGCTGTGCAGCACGGACAGCCCAAGCGCAGGGAAAGGATGGGGGGACAGAACCTGTCTCCACGTTAACCTGCCTTCTGTTCTTACACTGGTCTCGGCGATCACAGACAAGAAAGACCTTGTAATCTCTCTAGCAATAAGTTTTCATGTTCCATAAGATCCCTCAGGTTAAATCAGCCACCTTACACCAGTGGCTGCGGTTGGAGGCTCAGTGCATGGCAGACAGCCATGAGCTAGAAACAGCTTCCCATTTTGAGCCATCAGCCCGAACCAGAGTTAGCCAGGAAGTCTCTGTGGCCTCCCTCCCTCCCCTCCTGTCTTTCATTCCACGTTGTCCAGCTCTCCTAGGAGAGACCCCACAGCAGGGAGAGACCCTGGGAAGGGCCCTGGAGGTGAGTTTTGGGAACTCAGCATGTGAGCACGCTTGCAGCAGCTCTGGCCACCCACCCCCTCTTGTGGCCAGAGTCACTTGGCCAAAACACTCAGGTGCCAAAGGGGGCTGCTCAGGGTCAAATAAACCATTAAGTGTAGTACAAGGAACAGTCTGTATCCTAGATACCTTGAAGGTCAGATCAGCATTAGGAGAGGTCTGTCAAGTTAGGGCTATCTGTAGGCTACAGGGGGGCTCTTTTCCTCCCTACCTCCCAGACTTCATGAAAACATTAGGGAGGGACCAAGCCTGCCCAGCATCAGCACTTGTATCGCTCTGTGGCCTGTTTCACCCTGTAGCTTCACACAGCTATGCAGAGAGGAACACTGAACTCTTGTATCCATCTCCGAGGAATTTGGACGCATCCTTGTACCACAGCCCTTTACCAGCTCTTGAGCAACGTCTTTTCACAACTGTGGGAACTCTTTGCCTCAGCCAACAGCAAGACTCAGTGTGTTTAACTGCAAGTGGTTTCAAAAGCCAAAGCTGTACTCTCAAGGCAGGCAGAGATTTGCATATACAGCCTGCCAGGTGGACCATATCAGCAAACATACATACATGCCACCTAGACCAAAAGTGGCACCTACAGAGACGTTGTCGATAGCTTTCTGAGAACAAGCTTTGGGATGCCCTTTGGCACCGTTCTGATACAAAGGAGGTTTCCTCCCATGGACTCATCCAGTAACTTGCAATTCAACAGCTATGACTCTGGACATGAGACCCTGCAGCTTGTTTAACAGCACTCCAGAACAGGTCTCCAGTACAAAAGCACCCACATGCCACTGATCTGCAGCATGAACAGGCTTTACTCGCACCAAGGTAAGTTTCTTACAATGGCACCACTAAGCCAGCTATCCCAAAAGGCAGGAAAAGAGAAAAGCAAAACCAGAACTCCCATCCACAGACTGCTCTGAACATTCATCGGAAGCATCAGCCCACTTGGAGGAGCGATTCGCGCCACAAACCCAAGCCAAAGCAGCCTCCTGCAAGCTGAGCGAGCTCACGGCAATACTAACCGGGCTGGAGAGCTGGCTGGGGGCAGGCAGCGGCAGGCTGCAGGGCTTTGCTCGATGTTTCCTGTGCAGCCACAGTGTGAGGAACGTGCAGATGCGAGGAAGTTTAGGGTCCCTCTCCATTCTCCCATCCCGATCAACATCGCACAGCCCCAGTAACCGCCAGCACCGCGGGCTCCTCAGGAAGCATGGCAGGCTCCTGGGGATAGGGAGGCTCCCACAAGGCTACATGGCCGCCACAAGTTTGAGGTCGCAGGATGGAGGAGATACAGGTGGTTAAAGCCCAGCTGGCAGATGCGCAGTGAAGACAAGCGACTCAGTCACACAGAGAGGCAGGTTGACGCTCCCACTCCCCAGCAACAGCGCTTGTGGTTGGGACTTTTTTTTGGTTTTGTTTTTTGTTTTAAAAAAAAAAAAAAAAGACCTCACAGCTCCTTGTTCACGTTTGGTGTTCCTGGTTCAGACAAGACACTTTCTGACAAAAACCATGCACTGTCTAGTTTAAACAGCCTACTTCCATCTAGCGTGGCATGAATCTCACGTCAGGCTGTGAGCTTTGGGGGTACTTCTACAACAGGGAAATATTCTGAGAAGTTTCTTACTCTTTAAAAAGGAAGAGAAAAGCAAACAAAACCTCACACAGAGGTCTGGCACCACTTAGGAAAGCTGCACATATCTTTGCTCTCATACCTGCCTAGGGATGATGGGTCACCCATGGTGGGATTCAGGGTGCACCAATCCCATGGGAAAGTCCTCTGGCATCAGTGACCATGCTAGGATATTCATCCAGTTCTGCACTTTAGGAAGGGTGACCTTTGCTTTGTGCTGCACAAGAATCCTGGGCATGGAAGGTGAAGGTACCGAAGAGCCACTCTGGGGAATCTCATGCAAGGTATTTTTAAAGGCATTTCTGAAGCGGACGTGTTCTGAATCCACTACTGTTCAGATTTATTGGCTGGACAAAAGAGAGGTTTTTAGGTTTCTTGGCTTTTTTATTTTAAAACCAATCCTTTTGCCTCCATCCCTCTCCAGGCCTGTGTTCCCCTCTGACCTTTCTATTGGGTCAGAAAAGACAGGTGTTTTCCAGAGCGACACCCCAAAAAGTGCAGATAAGAAAGAAACCCCTTGAAATGAGTAAAAAGACACCCACACACCCTTGAAGCTCACAATAACCCTGTGTCAGTGTTGATTTCTGAATTTCTGCAGCGAGTGCAGAGTTTGAACAGCAGATCTTGGTTTGGACCGAGAGGGACTACTTATGACTGTCTTGCCTTCTCCACCCCCATTCCATGCTCTCTGATAACCCAAAACAAAAGAAACAAATGACTTAATACCAGCCCGCCAGCTGGTCCCAGCTCCACAAAGGAAACCTCAACAGTAGGTGACGAAGTCCAAGGCAAGGGAACTGGGAGACTGAGTAGGTGCCAGGGAACGGTATGGAACAGCGCTGAATAGCTGCTAAACAGACATCTCCAGGAGACTCAAGTTCTTACTGACACCTCCTTCCTTCTGCCAGAGTCCCACGAAACTAGAAATCACTGAAGCATCACCGGTTACAAGGAAGCTTTAAGTTGCTCAGTTAATCCATGCAGGAGCAGCAGCCAGCCGGCTCTCTGCATGCGGGCCTGGAGCTGTTTCTCTAAGATTTGGCAAATTTTGTCCCAGCTAGGACAATTTAACATGTTCTGTTATGTGAGAGAAGCCTTTAAAAAGCGATCAAAGAAGACACTACACATACATGCCACTAAAACCCTGGATCCCCAGCACCAAAAAGCTGACAAGATCAGAAAGCCACAGAAGGAGACAAAAATGATTGCACAGAAAGTGGTGTAGGCTGGGGAGGAAAGAGGAGGAGGATGAAGACCAGAACTACGATGTCACGTGAGCAAGTGACTAATAGCTGCTTTCTGTATTATCATTTCTGCCTAGTTGTAATGGGCCAGTAGGAATACGTGGCAAAAAAAGTTTTTTTTTTCAGAGAGGTACTTGTGAACGCTGCTTACGCCCTCGCATATGTACCCATGCGTCAGCTAGTACCTGTCGGGACTATCTGTCATGGGACAAAGCGCGAGTTCAACGCAGGAGTCTCAGCAAGGGACGCGTCTATGGCAGGCTCTCTTACCTTGTCTGCTGAGTCCACAAGGTCTTTCTCTATCCAAGTGATGTCTGATTTTGCCTGCAGAACAATAAATGAGCATCAGAAGGTCTGTGATACTCCGTTAATGTTTTCCCAACAAACTAGTTTAGCAGGACTGGGCAAGCTATTTACAGATTCACTGGTGGCGTCCCAACACACATCCCTCCTCAGGATGTGATTTTGAGTTGTTCTGGTGGTGCCAGGAGAGAAGGAGGAGCTAGCTGGTATTAAAGGCTTTGACGGACTGACAACAGGCAGTAGAGAAGGACAAAGTGCTGGAAGTTGGTCACACGTTCCCCATGACTCACAGCCCCACCACTCAATAGAGAGTCCGGACTTCTGGCAGGTTGAGTAACGTCTAGATCAGATTTTCCTCTCAGCTACATCTGGACAAACTCCAAAAGCATCTGTTGTCCCAGTAGCAGCGTCCTGAGTTTTCAGTACCGCAAAGCTGAGAAGTTTGGGACCGCCGTGACTGGGAGAGGGCTTCTCCTCAGGGGAACACTCAGCATTTCTAAAGCAACCAGGAGGAACACATTCAAATACAAGAACTCATCACATCCCTTGAGGGCTGGGAAGGGCCCGAGCAGTATTAGAAATATTAGCTTACACTGCCTCTGGGACCAGGTACAACTCTATGAATCCATACGGGGAGAAATGTAGAAGCATTTAGAAGGAATTGAGAAAAGAACCACTTTTCAACTAGGATGTGGCACTTTCTCCTCCCAAAAACTCAAGACTTAAGGGAAGAAGCAAGTTTTTGGAAAGTCAGACCTTAGATTCCCAAGCCTTCTGTATTTTAGTACATGTATGTAGATTTGCTGTCACAGCTAGGTGCTTTTTCAGCTGGTTTTGAGAGAATGAGCTGAAGTTTAAAATCAAAAAAATCACCTCCAAATCAAATTAGATTTGAAATATTTCCTCTGAGAGGTTCAAGTCTTCAGCTGCAGATGAGATAAAACTCATGTGACTGCACACACAAAGGATCTGAAGAGGGACTTGAGCTGTGACTTCTGCTGTTTCTTTTAAAGCAGTTAGTCAGCACGACAGAGCATGTGGGAGCCTGCAGTGCTGGCAGGGACCTACAGCTCCAAGAACATCAAGTGGGTGGGCGCAGAGCAAGGCAGGATGGCTGCGACTCGCTATCAGCGGTCTGAAAGTAGGACAGGAGCTAGGGAGAGATGAAAGAAGAAAAAGCAAGCCCTGAGGGAGGGGAGGAGCCATGTGAAAACAGTGATATTAGAGTTAAGAATTAACTGTTTTTAAGCTCCGGAGAGACTGAATCAGATCAGAGGGGGCCACTGCGTTCACCTCTTCCTCTTCCTCCCCTTCCGCCGCTCTCCTCTTGGTGCAAAGGTGGCCAAGATCTCTTCAGACCTGGGAGAAGGTGGCTGTCCCACTCTGCCGAGGTGGGAAGCGGATGCCCTTGGCAGCTGGCTGACACAGCTAACAAAGCCACAACCGAACCCCTTCCCGAGCTTCCAAAAGTGATCACAAAAACCTCAACACTGCCTCCTAGGCATCACATCCACCCACAAGGAAACCAGCTCCTTCACCGCTCGGGCTCTGCAGCACCTTGCTCTGACCACCAAGCATGCATCAAACCGCCATGTTTGGTGGGACGGGTTTGATTTTTTTCTGCAAAGGCACAAGCACGAATCCCTTTGCAGGTCCACCCTACCCACGTGAGATACAACTCCTGGGAGCTATCAGCCATCTTCTGACACCTACAGCCTCAGGGGAGGCCATTTTACACAGATTCCTGCATGACTGGGAAACTACATTTGCTGCTCCTGGAAAATTAAAGAACACCCACGCCCACCGGCCAGGTTTGAAACTAGGAAGTCGCTCTAGGTCAGAGGAGGAGACAACTTCTTTTGAAGTTCTTAATGCCGCGTTCTAACTGTACAGATGGCTTAGTCATCCTAGAACAGGGGCTGGGGACATATATAGTTTCTTCCAAAGACAAAGAAGTTCAAAATACAAGTCCTCTTTCCTACTTCTTCCCCTTTTTGAGGAAGAATTTTACAAGCCAGAAGCCAAGAGACAGGTTTGTTTTCGCTCACATTTTGTCACTTTGCTGGTTGATTCAGTCACATCTGAATGCAAGGAAAAAAAAAACGGCAAGAACTAGCAACAGATTATGCTTTTGGCATTTAGCTTCCTATTCATCAACAACTAACCAGAAGCTGTTTTAATTTCTGTTGCTTCACACATGCTCTGGTCCCAAAACATTCCAAAATTCTGGCAGCACCTAGGAAAGGCATTTCTTAGAGAACAGTTCTACCAGGAGAAATGCCTTTTTTCAAAATAGAAGTTGTTAATTAAAACTGGACACAGCCTGACTCTCTAAGGTCAGGCGCTTCACTGACTTCTCACATCCTGCAGAACAGACAGAGCACAGTACTGTATGCAGAGCAGAGATTTTTTTTTAACAACTAGACACTTGCCTCCTGGATCCTTGGCTTGCTGCGAAAGAGGAGCCTCAGCATCTCCAAAGCTCTAGGCTGCTATTCTCCCATAGTTTGCAAGCCGGCTTCTGCACTTAGAGCTCTCTTGCAGCACCCAGCCTAGCACGAGAACCCCAAGTAGTAGTCACGTCAGTGGGATGCATTTTGGGAGTTTTTCACTGAAAGGAAACTGTGGTTTCTATGGGGAAATTGCACTGCATGGTGATCACTGCACAATACCGGCAGCCAAATGAAGGCGCTGGATGACTTTACTGGCTCCTCTACACGACTCTTTCCATCAGCAAATCTCAGCAGGCTTTTCAGGAGGATTGGTATTATAATCTCCCAATATACAGATAGGAAAACAGACACAGAAAGAGTGACTTCAGTCACCACGTAAGCCAGGAAGAGGCGACTGAGGCTCCATCCAGCTTTCTTCCCCAAAGTCACGCTGCCCCTGCTCCAAGCAGCACACTGGTTTGTGCCGATTCCAGCACGAACGTGATCCCGGCGCGATCAGCTGTTCAAAGCCCGCACTGCGCATCTCCAGGGAAGGGGCCAGAAGGAGGTGTTTTCTGCACCCTCCACCGCTTTCTCCCTGTGCTCGGTAGTCTGCACCTTGCTGGATCAGGTCTTTTGGAAACTGCTGAGTGGCCCCGTGCGAGGTTTGCACGCTGACATCTTATGAGAGCGTTACACAATCCTGCCCACTTGCTCAGGGGTCAACTCCCACACAGAGACACTGCTCTATATGGTGCACTTATATGTCCAAGGATGTCCTAATATGACCAGAGGGGGAAGGAGACAGGAACTGGAACCGGCCAAGTCAGATAGTGCAGATAGGGGGACCAGGGGGGAGGGGGGAGAAGGATTATAGTCCTGTGTCTCTGAATATATTCTCCCCAATATCTGTGTTTGCAAGGAAAAGAGTAAGCCCTGTACTTACTCCCAGTTCCCGTTAGGAGGCCATCTGCATTTCATCTATGCAAAATACATGCCCTATATGGTTTCACAAGTTACCCAGCTGGTCTACAGGTGTCACTGCAAGGTCCTGCTGCTACTTAGCAGCGTCCCTTTACTGTGCCTGCTCCGTACCTTAAAAGTCACAGCTGCCACATCCAAGATTGACCGTTCCTAGTTGAACTTCTTTCCAGATGCTTGCAGCTTCTGCAGCTGTTAAGCTGCTCAGTGTCTTCCTGGACTGCAGCATTAAAGCTGCTGCCAGACTGCAGGTACGTCTACACACAAGCATCCCAAGAGCTCTTTGCTCGCTCACATAGTTGTATCCTCATCTCTTCCTGCCCTGCCAGGGGTCCAGCTCAGCCTACCTGCCACTTTGCTCACCCAGAAACAGCCCTCTGAACCCCCCGGGGGTTTTCACAAGGAAGAGGCCCAACCTGAAGTTACTCTACTAAACGTAGACACCGTAAAAGTCTTGTTTGGCAGTAGAAGCCATCAGCTCTTCACAGCCAGCAAGGGGAGGGCTGTTGCAGACAGTACAAACCTCAGTCACTTCTCTGTCTCTGCTACCAAATCAACAGGCAATAACTCCAATATAAGGTGATACATCTATCAGAGAAGCCAAGCGTGCCCGGTGGTGCAGGCAGCTGCCTGTGAACAGGCAGGTTCTTGCATCTAAGCACAAGGAAAACACAGGCTGAACCCAGGCAAGAGTCTCCACCTGTCACACTTCCACGTGACCTTACACCTGCAGGGCGAGTTGGACACTTCAGGGCAGATTTAAGTTGCTTCTAGGCATTATTCCGTATTTTTGCAAAGGTAAAACGTTGGGGACAGAACTGGGTTTACCAATTCTGTTCGTCCTGTTCCTGTGCTCAAGGGTCCTGGGAGAACTGAGATGAGGCTACCTGAGCAACAGCAGGCCAGATGCTGTTCAGTATGGACACTGGCACTGAAGCTCCAAGACCTAGCTATAACCTCTGTGTGAACCTGATGTCACAAGCACCCTTCTCCCAAGAAAGATGACCCCAAATCCAATGGTGCTAGATATAAACTATTCCTAACATATTGTTTAAAGATGCTGTAATTAAATTCTGCATCAGCAGAGGAGACTTTAGGGCCAAGCTCCAGCAAGTCTAGCATCAGCTCTGTAAAACATGACATCTTGCTAACCCTGGTTTTAAACCAGAACAACCAAGGACTGTCTTTGTCTCCTGCCAAGATCCAATTACATCCCACCAAGCACTGGAAACGATATCAGACACCCAAAGAGGGGAGGGAAGGATCAGCATTTCACAAACAGGAAGCTGGTGGTGTGAAGAACTGCTGTCTGAAGAGAGACAGCTGCTGTCATTTCAGTGCGCTTTAGAAGTGGGACTCATGCCCCCACACTAGACCAAAGAGATGCTTCAGAAGAGGTTTCGGCTGCAGGCCAGGAAGCACAAAGGTCTCGATGAAGTTGATGAAGACCCAGGGGCACTTGCAGCCCCAAGAACGCACGGTGGCTGAGGTTGCACCTTGTGAAGACCCCTCCAGCCCTGCCTGCTCTTGGGGGCCCACAGGAGGGTGCTGGTCTCAGGAGCCTGGGAGCTTCACGCTCCTGAAGTTCTGCACCAAGTTACGCTGTGCAATCTGTTTCAGAGCAATAATCCCCGCCATGGAGGAGCAGCAACTGCTGCTAACCAGTGCTCCCGCTCTAGCAGGGGCTTGCAATAAATGGGAAGCACGAGATCCCGCTAGCTTCACACAGGAAGTGAGGGTGCTTTTTGCTGTTGTAAAGGCAAAGCCAGCTCGGTCAGAACTTTTTTTTTTTTTTTTTTTAAGGTGGTGATTCTCAAAAAGGGGAACAAACAAAGCAAAGAAACCTCACCAGCCACTGCCTCCTCTTGTGCGAGGACCTTATTTGGGCAAGGCTGATGGTCCGTCTCGGCTGCAATCAAAGAATTAGCCCAAACTATGTACTTTTGCCTGCACTTCTTTGGTGGACCACCTTCAGGTGTTCCTGGGACCACCCCAGGCTGCAAAATCCTGCAGGGGAGCCCTTATCACCGCACCGCACAGATCTTTCCTGAGCAGAGACACGCTGCGCGCCCTCGGCGAGCGAGGACTTCAGCTTGCGCTACCCGCCCCTGAACGCGCCCGTCGGCCAGGGCAGACGACGGACTGGACCTGTTCGGAGGGAGACAGGCCAGGAGGCAGCAGCAGAAGGGAGACTTGCGATGAGGGCGCCCCGACCTCGAGGCAGGAGCCATTTTGACTCAAGAGGAAGCACTACCCACAGCAGCAAGATGGTCGTATCTGCAGCTGCAGATTTCAACTCGCTTTGTTGCCATCCACCGACTTCCAGGAAAGCGTGGCAAGCACCGCTAGCTCGCACCGCAGGAAACCTTGCTGCCGACCGACGTCTGCCGAGAAGTCTGCGACCGCTCCTGGACTTTTCAGGAGCCGGCTGCTCTGCGAGGCTGCGAAACGTCCCCGCGTACCTGCGCTGAACACACCAACCCGCCACCGCTCCCAGGGTTGAAAACCTGCTGCTGGCAGGGACAGCCCGTTGCCGCCCTGGGAGTTTCACAGCGACGTTAACCGTGGAAGAGGCCCTCTTTATCCACCTTTCGTGAACCAAGAGACATTGCAGAGCTTAAAACTGTCAGCCAAAATGTGGTAACCAGTGCTATTAAGTCCTAGTTTTGACAAGGCAGTCCACACTGCAGCTTAGAAGAGAAGTTAAAAACAGAAGTCCAGCCAAGCAGAACATTTTGCAAGATGGCATTAATTTAACTCAATTGTTGAAGTTAAAAAACAGCTGGGAGGATTCAAGAGTTTCACTTTTTCTGGGCATTCCATTATTGAGGTTGTGTTCAAAAGCTTAAAAGTCTGAAGCCATCTCTCTCTTGCTTACGCATACCACACACACAATTAAAAAAAAAAAATCATGTGAAGCCTCAAGCAGATTTAAAGATCTTCCTGCCCAAGAGGAGAATTTGTCCTGTTCCCTTGCACATGTCCCAACTGGTTTAATTCTAGCCGACACTCCCTGTGCCATACCAGCTCCCTCCGTGCCGTACCTGGCCTTTCCTGCAGCTTGGCAACCTGCTGGGCTCTGATTTTCCCACTCCAGCATCACCCCACACATCACAGATCCAGCACCGTTGCAGGGCTGCATGCTCCAAGTGAAGGTCTGAGCGCTGTTTTATTGCCTTTTTTTTTCTTTTTTTGGAGAGGGTTTCTTTAGCTTAGCATGTACTTGCACACATCTGCAAGAGGTCAGGGAGGAGGGCCACGAAACCTTGCACTGGAGCTCCTCAGCCCCTTCCAACCGTGCTCAGAGCAGGAAAAGCTGCAGAAGAACTCAGTCCTGGCGGTTTTATAAAAGGAGGCGGCGGATGCAGGGAAGAGGTGGGCCCAGCCCTTCGACGCATCAGAGAATTCACAACAGCTTTTGTAGGAGGAGGGAGAAGCAAGAGAGCATAAATGCTTCAGGACACGGACAGAGTTTAAAAGACGAGGGAGAGTCTTAGAGCAATCCGACAGACAGAGATGCAGGTAAAGAGACGGCTTCGTTAGTCCTGGCGCGCTTTAAACTAAGCTCACGCTGTACAAGGGCATACGCTGTTTTGACAGACAAAAGCCTCTGCGAGCCCGGCAGAGCGCATGGGGTGGGGGAAGGCAGGGCCCACCCGCAGGGCAGCTTTGAGGATGGAAGTCTTGGACAAAGTCACATCTACAAACACAGCTAAAGAACACCAGAGACTTCGGCAGCTGGAGCTTCCTGAGAAGCGGATAACGCCGGGGGTGGGTTCCTGACGGAGAGCTTTCGCGCCAGAGGTTTGCAAGAAGGGCTTAGTTAGAGGGAACGGCGCAAACTTACAAGCAAATTCCTAAAAAGGGAAAAAACAAACCAGGACGGCTCCATTTTAGCCTGTTTCACGTTTAGAGGGAGCAGCTCCGTGCCATGCTCTACAGGCCCAGCTCACCAGAGAACGTTCACTTTTCTTGTAAGCACAAAAGCGGCCTACGTCATCTTCCGTGGAGGTGGACAGAGTTATCGCAGGAAGGAAATGCTGCAAAATCCTGGAGGTCACAAATTAGATACCAGCACCCTCTCGGGCAACACACAGAAGAGCAGCAGTAACAGAGCTACGGGACTTCCCAGCCGGAAGCGGTGGGACAGCAGTGACAGGTACCGGTGGGTACAGTGCGGGACAGGCCGCCTCACTGCCAGGAACCAGCTGAGCGCCGCAAGGGTGCCGCAGCCACCTCCAGCAGGTAGAGCTGGCCCCAGCCGCTGGGCTCCCCGTTCGGGCTCACTCCAGCAGGTGGCACTCGGAGCATCTCTAAAGTCCAAAACGTGTTTCTGTTCTGCAAAGAGAGAGCAAGAGCAGAACGGACCCATTTCCTAAATACCTTTTGGGGAAGATTCAGCACCCCTGGAAATAGAGGGGGTTTTGGAATCGACACAGGGATAAGGCATTTTCCCAAGCAAAGCCTCAAGCTGAAGGAGGAAAACGACGGAAGTTGGCTTCACACAGTGGCATTCCCACGGCAGGGCAAGTCGTTCCGCCTCACCGCATCCTTTCTGACCTGCTCAGTTGTTACCTGACTCATCTCACCAGGAGCACCAAAATAGCTGCTTCACACCAGAGAGCTAGGGTGCCTTGTGGGACAAACAGCGAGGAGATGCAGAG